AAACTTATTAGAATCACAGGAGTATAAACAAAAAGAACAACGAAATATTGCCATTTTGTCAACCCAATAGGAAAAATCAAAAAATATGGGGACAGTTGCTTTTGGCTAGCATGTGAATAATTGGACATTTTCATACATTGCTTGTTGCAGTTTGAGTTTTTAATCATTTCTTTTGCAGTACAGTGGTAAGAATCATAAGTGTTTGATTATGATAAGTATTCCCAATCCTAGATACTCATTTCAAGAAAATGAGTGCAGATGAACATCAAAATTTTTGTAAAATATATTCAACATGATATAAATATCCACCCAAAGGGGGCTGGTTAGATAAAACCATAAATGCAGTGATTAAAGATCAATCTTTGGGGAATATTTAATAAGAAGTAGGAAATACAGTATGTTAAATGTGAAAAAATGTGCACACTACATATACGGTATGATTGCAATTGGGTAAAAATGAATAATATACACATTTATATATTTTAAATATAATTATAATATATATATTATATGTGTAATTATATGACATATGACATGACTATATAAAAATGAAATGTACTTATTACAAACAGTATATATAATTACATAATAATCATCATGTAATTTGTACATTAATAAGTATTACCTAATGTAGTGGCATAGTGCCTTAGGCATTTGACTGCTAACCAGAAGGCTGGTGGTTCAAACCCACCAGCCACTCCTCAGAAGGAAGGTTGGACAATCTACTTCCATAGTGATACTGTCTTAGAAACCCAAGGAGGGGTCGCTATGAGTCAGATCCAACTTGATGGCAATGGGTTTGGTTTGGTAATGTACATGTAGGAGCTCTAGTGATGTGGTGATTAGGGCATTTGGCTGCTAACCAAAATGTCCATGGTTCGAACCTACCAGCTCCTTCTCAGAAGAAAGATGAAGCAGTCTGCTTCTGTAAAGCTTTACAGCCTTGGAAACCCAATGGGGGTCACTCTGAGTCAAAATTCGTTTGATGGCAGTGAGTTTAGTTTGTGGTAATGTGTGTGTGTGTGTATAATTACTGTATAAAACCAAACCAAACTCACTGCCAGCCAATCGTTTGTGACTCATAGTGACCCCTCCTTGGGTTTCCAAGGAAGTATCACTACGGAAGTAGATTGCCCAACCTTCCTTCTGAGGAGTGGCTGGTGGGTTTGAACTGCCAGCCTCCTGATTAACAGTCTAATACCTTAGGCACTATGCCACCAGAGCTCCCAATTACTATTTTAATATATCTAAAAGAGAAGAGAAGGCTTAGAGTAAATAATACTCCTCTTTTGTTTAGTTCCAAGAACAAAGAAAATGTAAAAGACTTTTAGGAGTCTACTTTTTTTGATAGGGACTTTGTTACCTTAACACAAATAAAATCATCTTAACAACGAGGCCATTTTTAGTTGCCATCTAGCCAAACTTAACTCATGGCAGGTGCATGTACAATGGGACACAATGCTGCCCAGTCCTGGTGCCATCTTCATCACAGCCTGTGGATCAGACCATTGTGATTCACTGAGTTTTCATTGGCTGATTTTAGGAAGTAGATGACCAGGTCTTTCCTGCAAGTATGTCTTAGTTTGGAAATTTTGCTGAAACCTGTTCAGCATCATAACAACTCACAGACTTCCACTGACAGATTGATGGTAGCTGCACGTGAAATGTTTTGGCCAGTAATTGAACCTGGGTCTCCTGAATGGAAGGTGAGATTTCTACCACTGGACTACCAATACCCCATATTACAACTATAAATCCTGGTAAATTAGAAATTATGTATGGTAGGTAGGATTTCTAAAATATCCTTCCAAAGAAGTCTAATCACTAATCCTTAGAACCTGTATATTGTATATCAAGAGGGAAGTTATTCAGGCCAATATGATTTGATCACATAACCTATGAAAGGAAGAGAACTTACTCAGGCTACTGACAGAAGGAAGGCAGAGGGAAAAGTCAGAGAGATTCAAAACATGAGATGGATTCAGCAGCTGCTTTTGACTTGTAGGTAAATGGGATCACATGGAAACTGAGAGTAGGAAATGAATTCTGGTAACATCAGTAAGCCTATTAAAGGACCCTAAGCCCCAAGGATCACTGCAGCCCTGTGGGGTACACTGATTTTGGCCTACTAAAACTTTAAGCAGAGAAACCAGTTGAACCAAGTTATGCTCAGATTTCTGACCTACAGAAATAGATAATAAATGAGTCACTAAGTCTGTGGTAACTTGTTCTAGCAGCAATGATAATAATAATAAAAACTACTACATTCTTCAATGTTTATCAATCCATATAATTAGAGAACAGGATATGGTTTCATAAATTCAGTAGAGAGCGATTAAATGCATGGGTTTTGAGGCCAAATGGAACTATATCTAAATACTGTATTTTTCACTATTTAGTTGTCTGTTTATGGGGAAGTTCTTTAACTTTTCCAACTCTCAATGTTCAGATTTGTAAAATGGAGTAATAATAGCTCCTTTGACAGTTTTCTTTTCTTTCTTTCTTTTTATTTTCTGAGAGATAAGCAACAAACTATACATGTCCTTCTTCTTGTTGTTATTTGCCATCGAGTCAGCCCCAAATCCTAGCGACCCCTCCTTATGTCCTTAGGAAGCATTAAAATGTTTTCTAATATTATTTAATATTTTATTCTAGCTAGCAACTCTTAGACAAAATTGTAAGGTGCTAAAAGCAATAATCTATGTAAAATCTAAATAAAAATGTTTCCATCACTTCCTTCCCTTTTATTTCCTTTCTCATCTTGATTTTGACAATATCAAGTTCACTACAAAAGAGCTCTTTTGTTTTAGACTCAAATTAAGGAAACCATCCCAAGGGTTTATGTAACTGAATAGATGGAATAGACTTCAATAGAATAAAGAGTGAGCCCTCTACAAAAAAGGTGCATGAATAATTTGACTCTCCCTAAAGAAGGTCATCATGGAGCTCTGGTGGTGCAGTGCCTAAGACATTTGACTGCTCACCAGCCACTCTGCAAAAGGAAGATGGGGCAATCTACTTCCATAAAGATTTGCCACCTTTGGAAACCAAATCAGAGTCTCTGTGATTTAGAATCAGCTCGAGGGCAGTGTTTTTTTTTTTTTTTTGGTTAAAGAAGGACATTATTTAACATCTGAGTTTAGCTTGGCACAGTGAGCAGGGGATGAGGTCAGAAATAATTTCTGCCCCAAATGTTTGAGCTCATAAATCTAGGATCGGAGACAAAAGGCTGTCTGGGTCATCCTAGGGAAGAAATTTCCCAAAGCATGTTGGTATGAACTCATGTCCTGAAAATTTTACACTGCTGAAATCTGGTTAAATATCTCCACTGAAGCAATTCCAAAGGGCAGAAATGGTAGCATCTATGCCTACATGGAAAGAAGGGAATAGTCAACAAGGCTTAGGCTGCTCATTATATATGACACATGTTGTTAGCTGCTATAGAGTCATTTCTCCACTCCTGGTAATCCCACGCAAAATGGAATAAAACACTGCTGAATCCTGTGTCATCCCCATGATAGGTTGCAGATTGAACCTTTGTGATTCATAGGGTTTTCATTCACTCATTTTTGGAAGTAAATTGGAAGACCTTTCTTCCTAGTCCAACCTACTCTGTAAACTCTTCTGAAACCAGATCAGCATCATAGCAACATGAAAGTTTCCAATGACAGATGTGTGTGTGTGTGTGGGGGGGGTGTTGTGCATGAGGTGCATTGGCCAGGAATTGCACTTAGGTCTCCCTCTTGACATGAGAGAGTTCTACCACTGAACCACTGCTGAACCTACTAATAGATGTTTACTTTTTTTAAAAAAAAACAAGCTGTCACTTGTACCCCTTGGTCAAAGCTGTGGCTCTCCTGAGTCATTCCAAGCTCTTGCTGCTTCAAGACTCTGGGGATCAGCCTTTACATCTTGGTTCACTGGAGTGAGCAGCCAATTCAATGACTGGAGAAGGATAAAGCTGAAGCAATACTAAGTTTTGTGATAGCTCCATTTATTTATTTCCATAGAAGAAACATTTATTGAGAATGTATTCTGCTTAAGGCACTGTTCTAAATATTTTAAGAGAAATAAAAATTAAAAAGACACATTGTACTCAAAGATTTAGTAATCTTAGTTTTGTTTCCAGGAGATATTTGGCAATGTCTAGAGATAATTTTGATTGTCACAACTTGGGAAGTGAATAGTGTACTGGAGTCTAAGAGGTAGAGGTGAGGGATGTTCCTAAACATCCTACAAAGCACTGAACAGCCCCATCAATCTAAAAAGAATGCTTGTTGTTGTTAGGTGGCATCGAGACATCTCCAACTCATAGCAACCCTATGCACAGCGGAACCAAACACTGCCTGGTCCCACGTCAGCTCCACGAACCTTGCTGTAGTTGAGCCCATCTCCATAGCCACTGTGTGAATCCATTTCGTTGAGGTCTTCCCCTCTTTATTGGACCCTCCACCTTATCAAGCATGGCATCTTTCTCCAAGGAATGGTCCCTTCTGATAACATGACCAAAGTCTAAAAAGAATTATCTGATTCAAAGTGTCAATAGTGCCTTTCTTGAGAATTGCTAATAGAGAATAAGTTATGTAAGACAGGAAAAAAAGCAGATCAGATGCATGTAGGAGAACCCCAAATTCTGTAATCTCAAGGTTTCATATGGAAATATTGATATGAGGTTCAGGAGAATTGCTTTGCAAACTTGATCCCAGACACATAGCTGACGATAAAGAATCCTGTCAGGATGAGGGCATCAAAGCAGAGCAGACACAGGTGCTGCTTGTAAATTGTATCTCTGTTGTGTGACTGATGGTAACATTCTACTTCAAGTTCATAGACAGGATGAATTAAAACTGGGGGCATAGAACAGCTAGGAGCATCCTTAAAATTCTTTCTTTTACTTATATTTCAGGCCTTATCATCTGTTGGATGTCAGAAGGGTAAGATTATGCATTCTAGGGAGTGAAAAATCTATAATTTTTTCCATCTTTCCTTTTTAACCCTAGGAAGGATCACTAATAAAGTTGGCCCCTGCCCTATAGACTACAACCTCAGTCTCTTAAAAGAAGACCATGAATTACACTATCAGGTAAGATGAAGGCTGTCTGAGTCGACTTTGGAAACACCAGGAACATAGCAGTTTCTGATTATTAATTATGATTTCTTAAAGTGTATTTCCAGGTAGAAAGTAATTTGGTCTTCAAAGCAAGTTTTGAAGTGCTTGACATGCTAAAGGAGCTGACGTGTGAAATCAGCAATGCCAATAAACTTTTTATTACATCCGAATCTGACTTCTTTAAGCTGTTGAATACTTCAGTTAAATTAATCAGTCTTCAAGACTTTCTAGCTTGGGCAGGAGTAATTAGAAAACGTGCTGATTTTGCTGGGTATTGGTGATTTATTTGGCATAATCATGGCTGCCATGGAGTCTATCTGGAAACTATCTTAATAAACTGATATAATGGTGTAGCCTAAGTTAAAATATTTTACTGGGTCCAGTTTTTAGATACATAATCATCTTTAAAATCTGTATCTACATAGACTGAGTGACTTTGACTTTTAAGTCTTCTGAAAGTTTAATTTGGCTTGACTGGAAAATTCAGTAAAAGGATTCCTTATCTTTCCCAAATTATCTGAATCACTTTTGTAATTCTCCAATGTCCTGACTATAGATAGGTCTGTGGAACCAACTTTTTCTGCCTTAGTCTCAATAGTGACTTTAAAATATGTCTTTTCCTCATTTCTAAATGGTGAGCCATCATCTAATCTAATAAGTGCCTGAATTGCTAATATCCAGATGAACATTTACAGCATTTACGATTGTGTTTCTATATTTCACTCTGTATTAAAGAAGAAAGCTTAGGAATCGAAAGTTTTATAGAATTTGAAACATTTACTGAGTTCTAGGAAGTGTTCTTTGGTGGCGTAGTGCCTAAGGCATTTGACTGCTAACCAGAAGTCTGACAGTTCAAACTCACTAGCCACTCCTTGGAAGGGAGACTGGGCAATCTACTTCCATACAGATACTGCTTCGGAAACCCAAGGAGGGGTCACTATGAGTTGAATCGACTTGACATCAGTGAGTGAGTGTGTAAGGAAGTGTGCTCAGTCTTGTCCATAAAATGCTCATCTCACAACAAGCTAATGAGGTAGGCACCATTAATATCATTATACAAATAAGAAAAGTGATACATGAAGAGATGAAATAAGTTTACTAAAATTACATTTCTAATAAGTATAAATACAAGTTTTGAACACAGACTGTCTGGCTCTAGAGCCCATATTTGTATCCACCAAGAAATATTACAACAAAAACTTTTGTATTAATTTCAGCTGAATATATATTTTCTACTCATTGTTTCTTATAACCTTAATTAAAAATAAGGTGTGGAAATCAAGAGAAAATTTTCTAGGAAAGGAAAAAAAAGGGGGGAAATAGATCATATCCATTCAGGACATCCTAAATATGAGGTAAGGAGCCCTGGTGATGCAGAGGTTAAGCACTTGGCTGCTAACTGAATGGTTAGTTGTTCCGATCCATCAGCTGCTCTATGGCAGAAAGATGAGGCAGTCTGCTTCCATAAAGATTACAGCCTTGAAAACCCTATGCAGCAGTTCTATTCTGTCCTAACGGGTCACTATAAGTACCAATTGACTCGATGGCACTGAGTTTGGTTTTGGGGTTTTATATATTAGGTAAGATGCCCTGATGATGCATTGGTCAAGTGTTCGACAGTTAACTGAAACATCAATGATTTGAACCCACTAGCAGCTCTATAAGAAAAAACATTCTGGTAAACTGCTACTGTAAAGATTCTCAACCTATTGTCGTTGAGTCAGTTCTGACTCATAGCAACCCTGTATGACAGAGTAGAACTGCCCGCATAGGGTTTCCTAGGCTGTAATCTTTATGGAAGCAGACTCTCTCATTCTTCTCCTGTGGAGCAGCTGATGGGTTTGAATTGCAGACCATTTGGTTAGCAGCCCATTGCTTAACCACTACTCCACCAGGGCTCCCTCTGTAAGGATTTTAGCCTAGGAAACCCAATGGGGCAGTTCTGCTCAGTCATGTAGGGTCACTATGAATTGGAATAGACTTGATGGCACACAGGAACACATATTTGATTGAGTCCCTGATTGGTGAAAACAATTAACATGTTGGCTGTGAACTGAAAGTTGGACGGTTTGAGTCCACCTAGAGGGACCTTGGAAGAAAGGACTGACAATCTACTTCTGAAAGATCAGCAATTGGAAACTCTACAGAGCACAGCTCTACCCTGATACCCATGATAAGACTTAACTCAATGACAACTGATTTATATATTTGTGTGTGTGTGTATGTTTCTACCAGATGTAAATATTCACCCTATATGCATGTGTATTGTTTGGCTGGAAGCCACGGAAGTGAGTTCAGTTTCAGACTTAAAGGGTAACTAGGGGCCATAGTCTCTGGGGTCTCACCAGGCTCTAACAGTAAACCTGGTCTTTTCTTTTTCATGATTTTGAGTTTTGTTCCACAATGTTCTCTTATCCCATCCAGGATCTCCTGTACTGATTCATTTCTCAGTAGCTGACAGTGGTAGTCCAAGTACCACCTAGTTTTTCTGGTCTCGTGGTCATATAGGCTGAGGGTTATATGGTCTACTAGTCCCTTGGACTAATTGTTTCCATGCTTCTTTGGTTTTCGTCATTCTTCTTTGCTCGAGAGAGACCCATTGTTACATCTAGATGGCCACTTGCAAGTTTTTCCCAGTTGTTACTCACCAAGGTAGGGTGTAGAACAATGTTTTTGTATAGTATGTTATGCCAATTGATCTTGATGTCCTCTGCGACCATGGTCCCGAGCCCACAGATCCAACTACTCACTCTCTCAGCATGGTTGGTGGTAGACAAGAAGTTTATGTACTAGGTATTTTTGTGCATATTCTTTGGGAAACCAAAGAAAGAATATGGCCATAGGCTTTTTAGAATATTATTTAACTATTTCTTATACCAACTGATAACATAAACTTTGTAAAATTTAATGCAGTAGTGATAGTGAGACTAGAAAAAAGACTAAAATAAAGTTGGTAAGGTGGGAATGAACATGTATCATTCCAAAAATCTAAAATTGTTCTCTGCATTTTCTGATGTCCATGTTTAATTAAGCAGTTCTCTTTTAGTTGTAAACATCATATTCCCAAAAGTCTGAGGCAGTTTTTTGAGAGCATAAACTCTTCTCTGGGAGTCAGGCACTTTGAGAAGCTGTCTTAACTGAGTGAATTCAGCTAACAGCTTGTGGGGATTCCTCAATATGTCAATGAGGTAGGAAGACAAAGCCAGAAGCATACCCAATATACAAGCAACTAAGTTTTGTGAATAAAGGTGGTTATATCAGTTTTTAAGGATAGCTATAGCACTCTCAAGGAGCTCTGGTAGCATAGTGCCTAAGGCACTTGACTGCTAATCAGAAGGCTGGCAGTTCAATCCCACCAGCCACTCCTTGGAAGGAAAATGGGGCAATCTACTTCTGTAGTGATACTGCCTCAGAAACCCAAGGAGGGGTCGCTATGAGTTGGGTCTGACTCAACGGCATATAACAACAACAACAACAACAACATACCACTCTTAAGGAGCTCTGGTGGCAAGTGATTAAAGTGCTTGGCTGCTGACTGAAATATTGTCTGTTCAAATCACCAGCCACTCTGTGGGAGAAAGATGTGACAGTCTACTTCTGTGAATTTTGAAGGCTTGGAAACCCTATGAGGAAATTCTCCTCTATCCTATAGTGTCACTCTCAATCAGAATCCACTTGACAGCAATGGGTTTGGTTTGGGTTTTATACAATCCTTTTGAAAATAAAACAGTCTAAGTCTGAGACTCGTCTCTTCAATTTAAGCTTCTTCCCTATTTTCTCACCTTCTCATGGTGTTAGGAATAAATTCAATTAATGTGGAAGACTGTAACATAAGCAATTCATAGAGTGGCCATGGGAAAACAAAGCCAATGTTCAACTTCAAATGCAAAGCTTCAGTTTAACAAATAAGAACTGACCAGAGGAAATTCTAAACTTGTGATCTCCAGTAGCCAGAAAGGCTAGTGGTCCTTCAGAGGGGTGAAGCTCATGGGTGTGAGTCACTGGAGGGGTGTGAGCCCCTCAGGTAAATAAATTGAAGCCAGCAGTACCCTATTTTTTCCCTGGGTACACTTAATGGCAAGCCTGTCCTGTAAAATTCTCTGGTAAACACATCAGACATGATTTCCAAAAATGAGAAATAGTTTTCCTGCTGGAAGATGTCAGGATTTAGATTGGATTTAATTTAGAGTTATAACTTTTTTTTTTTTTTGGTGATGATAGCACTGATGAAATTGAACATGATGTCATATTTATTTGCTTTGATACTTCAGATGCATCTGGTGTTTGTTGTTATCTCTGACTTGCAAGTCCATGATCACATTAACACAATCCTCTTAGCAGAGTACCTCCACCTCACAACCCTCTCCCCTCCTTTCTAATAAAATGGCCAATGTCACTTGGGCAGGCATGAAAGCTTCCATGCTGCTCACTTCTGATCTTCCCAGAGGAGTTCAAAAGCGTTTGTAATCCTCAGGATTCAACCCTTTATTCACTATTTCCTCTTTCTAAGGCTCTGTCCTTTGATGAAAACAATCCCCTTGCTCTTAATCTGGCCAGATGGGCAGGTGAACAGCTCTCCACTGAGCCCCACATAAAGATGCTTTAAAGAGTTTGGGAAAGAAATGCTGCTGCTAAGTGGAGCTTAAATGTTTTAATACTGAGATGCTTTCTACTGCCCCTGAGTTGCACTGGTCTGTGAGCTGAATGCTTTCTTTTTCTGTAGTAAGTCTTACTTCTCACAGGTTCTATTATTGCCATCCTTCTCCATAGAAGGGCCAAAACTCTCAACAACCAGGAAACCTGAGTTTTGTTTCCTGTTGCATAACACAATTAAACAGGCTAATCACATCATGACTTTGGACAATTTGGATTCACTTCCTATGTTTCCCACTTAGAAGCTTCATAACAAAGTAAATCAAACCAGAGCAGATTCTGACTCATACTGACCCCACATGTGTCAAAGTAGAGTTGTG